AATGTACCCTTTTAGCTATTTTTTAACTGTACGATTTAGTGGCAATAAGTCCTTTCACAACCATCACCACTGTCTATTTCCAAAACATCCCATCACCCCAAGTAGAAACTCAGTACCCGTTAAACACAACTCCCGTTCTCTTCCCCGCCTCCAGTCCCCTGAACAACCTCTGTTCTACTTTGCACCTCTATTCATTCATTTTCATAGTTCATCACTTGCTACATCTTTGTTTAGGAAACTGGGGACTAGAAGCTACAGTGTTGCTAGCAGAAAAACAACAACAAAAAAACCTCTTTCTAAACACGAGGAAAGAACTGGAAGTTTGGAAAAGGACACTCATTTTTTCTTCCTCTGTCCTTACACAAGTGGCTCACACCTGCAGGGGGTATCTGCGTATTTTGCCTTCCATCCCCTTCTGTGGATGCACACCTCAGGTCACTTGTTAGACCACAAGTTCTTGGGGACAGAGGTGATGCCTCCTTATTGCAGAGCCTTGACCTCTTGCTAAAAGGAGTGTTGGATTACATTTAAAAGAAAATGCAACTGTGAGGATGGATCTCATAGACATTACATTGATGAAAAGAAGCCAGACACAGAAGTACACGCTGTCTAATTTCATTTCTATAAGAGTCCACAAATGAACACAACTAAACCAATGTGTGTAGGGATTCATACTTAGATGGTAAAAGGCAGAAAGCAAGTAAGTGAGTCTGGTAAACTTAGAAGAGCAGTTGCCTCTGTGGGACGGGAAGGACGTGTGATTGGGAAGGGGCAAGTCTGGGGCTGTCGGGATGCTGGCAAATTTCTTAACCTGGGTGGTGGTCACATGAGTATTCATTTTAGCATCATTTGTTAAGTTGTTCATTGATGTGGGCTATAGTTTTCTGTGTATGTGTTATATTGCACAATTTTAAACAGCTTAAAAATAACTAGAAAAGAAAAGTTCAGGGGTTGCCAAATGGAATTCTATCCCAACCCAAACTGGTTAGCACAGAGGGAGGGAGGGGTCAGGGTTAGCACGTGTTCTTTTTCAAAGATTTGATCTTTAGAAAGGATTTTAATCTGATTTTGAATTATATGTCTAAACCTATAAGTTCAGTGTTCTAAATGTTTTTTGGTTTTTTGGCCTAGCTTGAGATGGAGAATCAGCACCTGAAAAGCTGTAATCAGTGCCTGGTGGAGCAGGTGGGAGCTCTTCAGGATGCTCTAGAAGGTAGGTGGGTCAGTGCGTGCGTGCGTGTGTGTGTGTGTGTGTGTGTGTGTGTGTTGGGATGTGTTGGGTTGTGGGACTGAATTGAGGGAGCTCTCAATATGCCTGTTTTTGCTCTAACCATAGCTCTTCAGATGGCACCTTCAGGGAAGCTGCCGGTGGCCCCCCAGGAAACCCCAGAGCAGGATTCTGCGCATTCAGGGCTAGGAGCCCAGCCAGTGGGGCAGGACAGTGGTCCTCAGGCCCAGTGTGCCCTGAAGGTGGTTCTGCCTGCACCTTCTCCAGATTCTCTGCAGAATAAGGACTCAGTCCCTAAAGTGGGAAGCCCCTTGGAGGAGTTCAGCTCCATTCTGGTCCGTCCTGGGGAAATATCAGGGGCCAAGACCCTTCCAACTCGTCTGAGAAGAGAAGGCTCTCCTAGCCAGCTGTGTGTGAAGACTCACACCCCCAGACGTGGCCTGGCTTCCTGGGATGAGAGCCTGGTGACTGCTCAGGGAGGCACACTCCCTGGGACAAAGACCTCTGCCAGGGAAGGTGGCCCAGGCTATAGCCTGACCCTACCTAAGGTGCGGGCTCCCAGCACCCCCCGGGACAGTGTCCAGCTGGCTAAGCGGCACCATAGCCAGCCCCAGGTGGGCCCTGGGCACTTCAACCACGTGGTGAGCATTGAGATTGGGACCCTCTCAGCCCTCCACCCCTCTGGCCTTCCCAAATTGAAGGCCCGAGTTGAACTCCGGGAGGAACCAGAGAAGATGGAAATGGGGGAGCAACCCCCAGCTGGGAAGAAGGAGGAAAGAGAGAACCCAAAGGCCCCCAGAGCTGAGCTGGAGGAAGTGGAATTGGGGAGCAAACCACCCACACCACCCCTGCACCGGTTTCCATCCTGGGTAAGAGGCTACCTGGGGGCTGGGCAGAGGGGCAGAGCTGAGGATGTGACCACTGTCCATCGAGCACAGCCGCACGCTGAGCATGAGACCAGACTGTCACCTTCATGGTGCCTCTGGGAGGCGGGTTCCACCGAGCCTGCCCAGACCACCCAACCAGCGAGGGGCAGAGCCAGGATTTGAAATGATTGGATGGTGGCTGGCTGGCATGTCCTGAGCAAGCACTCGCCATGTGCCACATACCAAGCTGGGTGCTGGATGCACATTATCTTGTTTAATGTTCATGATGCTGAGGTGGTAAAACTCAGAAAGCAAGGAAGTGAGTCTGGTAAACTTAGAAGAGCAGTTGCCTCTGTGGGGCGGGAAAGACTTATGATTGGGAAGGGGCAAGTCTGGGGCTGTTGGGTTGCTGGCAGATTTCTTAACCTGGGTGGTGGTCACATGAGTATTCCTTTTAGCATCATTCGTTAAGCTGGTTATTGGTGTGGGCTATAGCTTTTCTGTGTGGTAGCTAAGAGCACAGGTCCCAAAGTTAAGCCACTCAGGTCGAATTGCTGATTCTGTGACCCAGAGCAAGTTACTAAACCTCTGTGCCTCGGTTTTCCTATCCGTAAAATGGGGATAATAGTACCTCCTTTACAGGGTTAATACGTAATAGGTACTTGCAGTAGTGGGTCATAGGCATTGGCATTTATGTGTTGGCTGTTATTATTTCTGAGCTTCCTTATTTGTGCCACTGGATAAAATGACATGCTGTCTGGTGGAATTCTGGTGGACTGATCTGGGGCGGGGATACTAATGAAACAAAACCAGCCATGCATTAATCTTTGTAGAGCTGCATGATAGGCACATGAGGTCGTTCGTTCTTTATTCTGTTCTCCTTTTGTGTCTGTTTGACATTTTCCATGACAAAAAGTTAAAATGAAAAGGGGGGATGGGTGGATGGGCATTAATAGGTAGCACAGGTCAGTGATGAGGGTAAGATGAGATAATGGATGTTGAGAGCTTAGTGCAGAGCCCGCCATAAGGGCCCTTACATGCTGTTTTGCTTTACAGATTAGGAAAGTGCTGTCTCCACAGACTTAGATACTTGCCCAGGGTCATGTAGCAGTTAGTGAGGGGCCAGGCTTTAAATATAGTCCCAGCTGTCCCCAGAGCCTGGCTCTAACTCTCCAGCTGTCCTGCCTCAGGGGACATTGGAGAGCTGGATGTCTGAGGGTCAGGCTCCTGGCAGCACAGGGAATGGGGTACTGGGGGAGTGGTACCACCCCACACCACTGTCTGGGAGGCCCACCTTTTCAGCAGCACCTCCCAGGGTCTCCTTTTGAAATGCTGTTCATCTGGGCGGCCTCACCACCCCCAGGCTTATGGGTTGCATCCTTATCAGTGTTTGCTGCAAGGGGACCTGGATGACCTGAGACACAGCTATGCCTCGGGGGAGGGCTAGGAGGTCCCCCAAGGCCATCCAGCCGTCAGGCCATGGGTTGCTGGCTGTCCCTGAAGCCTCAGAATCACGGGAGGGCCACAGCATGCTGCCTGCGGAGAGGAGGTATAAGGTGGGAGAGCAGCCGGCAGACAGGGAGCAAAGGGGCAGGCGGGGCCAAGGTGGAGAGGCTTTCAAAATGGGGGAAAGGCCAGGCAGCCAAGTTGGAATGCCATCAGAACCACCCCTCCTCTTGTTCGTTGTTGTCTTGTAAATACCAATGCTCTGGAATCCTAAAGCAGAGGTGGGCAGTGAGGGAGCTCTCAGCAAGGGACGCACAAGAAGGCTCAGCTCCATCTGGTCCCCAAGACACGATCTCTCCTGTCAGCTTAGGAAACCACAGTGGCCAGACAGCCCAGCCTTTTGTCTCAGGTGGGACCGACTGGGCAGTCACTCTCGGTAGGAAAAATCAAGACTGAGAATTCCAAGGACATGTCTCCATTGGAGGGAGTTGGAGATCCTCGTATATTTGCCAGAATAGAGTTCGCAGAGCCCTTTGTTGACCTTCAAAATCACCTTAGGTGAGTTAGGCACTAGATGACCTTTTGTAAAACACTCCTATTTGTTGATGATAGTTGCCTGAATCCCTAAGTGATAGTGAACCTAAATTCCACAAGCTTCACTTTCATTTTCTCCATGAAGTGTGAGGCCTGTTTTTGGTGTAATTCCACCACCACTACTGGCAGTAATCTTTTTTATGCCTAATTTTACTACTTGGACTCAGTTTGTCTGCCCCACATAAGCGCAGGAATTCCCTGCCGGCTCGGGTTCCCCTCCTGGGACACCCTCACTGCCCCATCTCTCTTACTGGCCCAGCCCTGTTCCTACCTCAGGATCTCATCCCAGTTGTTTGGAAGCTGGGACACATTCTACCTCCCTCTCTCCCCCAGATGCCTCAGCCCCCATTGCGCTAGACAGGCTGACCTTCTCTGGTCCTTGTGACTCACCAGTCACCTGAGGGGGCCTTTGTTGTCTTTTTATCTTGAGTGGAGAAAAGAGATACGGATAAAAAGAAATACAGGCGGGGCCTCTGGGTTGTTTGGGAACCATTAGAAACCATTAGAAATGCTCCCCAGGCCTGTGGGCCTACTTCAGACCCAGGGTACCCCACCCCCGGGGGTGAGGGAACACTTGAGGGTGGCTGTTCCCATCCTTGTGTCTTGTACAGTCGGCCTCTCAGGCCTGGGTAAGCTAGACAGGCTTTGTAGGTTGGACAGAAGCCTAGCCATGATGTAACATTATTACTGTAGGGGAAAAAAAGTGTCCCAGCTTCCAAACAGCTGGCTTAGAAAAGGGCATGCCCTCACCATGGGGCTCTGACGTCTTCATTACCAACACCCCACTTTTGGGGTGAGAGCCCGAGACCCAAGAGCTGTAAGATGTCTAATTCAGACAAACAGGTCACTGATCCCTCTCCTCGTGAACTTCATTACCCAAGGGAAGGGTGGTGGTGAGAGAAGGAGTGAATGTCTATTGGGCACTGATTACAGTCCAGGTGTGAGATGTTTACATTAATAATTTCGTTTGGTTCTCACAGCAGCCTGAAAGATGAGTAGTATTACCCCCATTTTAGAGTTGAGGAGACTGAGGCCCAGAAATGATGTAACTTACCCATGATTCCCCTCTCCCAGTAAGCAGCCGAACCTAGATGTGGATGCAGGTCTGCCTGCCTCCAAAGCCGTGCTTTTTTCCACACCCCAGGAGGGGCTGGGGTGGTCACAGTGCTGAGCTCTGACCCTCCGCGGACCTCTCATTCCAGGAGAGCCGGATCTATGCTGTAGCCACATCGGGCATGCATCTCTCAGACGTGTCTCCCAGGAGTAATGCCACCTGGTGTGGTGAGTCCCAAGTGGAGTGCCCAGAGTGGGCAGGGTGGGCATGTAGGGGAGGAGAGGACTGTGAGCAACACCCAGGGCTGGGGTCACCTGGCACCCCATTCCCTCCCCCAACAGGTGAGGTTCAGGTGAAATCACACAGCTAGGGCTGCCTTGGAGAGTTGAGCACATCACCGGCTGGGTGGGTGCGGCCTTGAACAGAATTATATAGCCAATTACAGAGCTGGAAAGGATTTTATAGAGGAAGGACCCTCCAGCCCAGCCTCCCACCTGCCCTGGCTTCCCTTCAGCAGTACAAGGGCTGGGAGGAGCCCCCAGTGCCTTGATTTAGCGTACCCTGAAGGAGCCCCGTCCCTACCTGCCAGCCACAGAATCCCCGCGGTGATGTGACAACCCCATAATGCATGATTGGTAACTCACTCTTGCAAGAGTGGGACTGAAGAAGGCCTTGGCCCGCATCCTGATAACTGTCCCCTGGTCTGTCACCCAGAGTGCTGTTTCAGGAAACATTGCCTGTGGTTTTCTTCTTCACTCACTTCAGGTCTCTGCTGCCCCCACACCTCTCACTGGGCTAGGGCACTTAAATTAATCTCATCGCTCTTCCCTGCCCCTCCAGGTTCGAGGCCTCCTGCCCTTGCGTCCCCTGGACCTTTCTCTGGCCTTGTCTACAAGAATGGCACCGCGCCTGTCTACACCGCCCTGAAGGGGGTAAGAAGCTGCTTGCTGTCTGAGGAGGGGGTGTCCCCATCCAGAGAGGGCCCCTGTCCATGCAATGGCTGGAGTGGAGCTCCAGGGTCAGGTTTCTGCCCACACATGACTCTGGCAGGGAGCCCAGCTCACCACACATCATTTTATTTTTATTGTTGGTCTTTATTAGATTATTATTAGAAACATTCCACATTCACAAAAATTTGAATCAATATGATTGTGGGCAAAGTAAAAAGTTAAAAGTTAAACCTATGGCTGTGCCACCTGTCCTCCCCATCTTATCACGTGTGGCCCAGAGGGCAGTGGGGCCCCTTCCAGAACTTTTCATGTGTTCCTACACACACTTCCATAACATTGCTACATTTTTTTAAATAAAAATCAGCTCTATCTGCAACATGAGGTTTTCATGTACGTTTTTGTCTCCTTTTAATATTGGTTTTTGAAATCATAGCTGTTATCCTTTAGAAAACTTTTTATAGAAGAATAAAGAGCCAGAAGTGAAGTTTCTTCTCATGTTGCTTTTCCCTAATTTCTAACCACAGAAGCAACTGTCATGAATGGTTTGGTGACTATTCTGTAAGGCCCCCTGCTGCATCTACAAATGCATTACACATGTTCTGTCTTTCTCACACAGGTGCACACCCACACACGCACACAAAGGGGATCACATTATACAGGTCGTTCTCCCCCTTGTTTGTTCACCCAGCCATGTGCCAGGTCTTCCTGCCATACCTCCACAGACGGCTCCGCCTCCCCTTGTAGGCCTGCCCAGCACCAGCCAGTGTCAGTGTAGCTGCCCATAACTACCTTAACCAGCCCTCCACTGATTGACAGTTTAGGTCATGTCTCTGTTTTCCTCTAAAGTCAGGGGTGTGATGAACATTGTGCGAATACATCTCTGTGTACATATATACATATTCCTGTAGGACAGAGTTCTAGAGGTGGATTTTATGGGCAAAGGATATGCATGTTTTAATTTTTGACAGTTAGTGGCAAATTATCTTCTAAAAAACTTTATCACCCTACACAGTACCCTTTTCTCCACAATTTCACCAACATGGAGATAATCAGTCTTTTTAAATGTCTGTCCGTGAAGGTGATCGCTCCTTTCGTTATCCCCACCCATTTTTAAAGCTCCTGTCTCACGAGGCCCGTGGTGTGGCTTTCTGGCCCCCTAGTGGCAGGGAGTAGTGGGTCACAGTGGTCAGATGCTCAGCTGGGATGGGACTGCTGCTTTGGGGGCCACAGAGGATGGTGTCGGGGGAGGGAGGCCTGAGGAGAAGCATGGAGGTGAGGACACAGGAGTAAGGTCGGAAGGGATGGTTGTGTGTTGGGTGTCCCGGCTGGGTGATGGCATCCATGTGCCCCAGACAGGCTGTGTTGGCCGCACCCTGGGCACCTGGAGCCAGAGTGCAAGTGCAGGTGGGATGGGGCTTGTTTTGCAGCAAGAACTGCAGTGGGGAGGGGCCTGTCTTGCAGAGAGCCACGCAGATCAGCACCGTGCCCTTTGTGGACGAGTCCTCTGGGTCCGACGATGACTGCAGCTCTCAGGCAAGTTTCCGCACGTCGGTCCCCTGCTCTGAGTCAAGGAAGACCAGCGGACTGGGCAGCCCCCGGGCCATCAAGAGAGGTACGGAGAAGGGAAGAGGAAGGGGTGCAGGGCAACAGGAGACCCCTCACCTCCTCCCACAGGCAGTCATATGTGGTGGTGGTGGTGGGGTCCTTGCTTGATCTCTGCCCATGACCCTCGGCCCCAGACTCGGGTCTTGGGTGGATGAGTTTCTGGGGAAGGTGTGGGACCCAGACCTTGACTCCTGCCCCTTGGCCAGGTGTCTCCATGTCTTCGCTGAGCTCTGAGGGTGACTACGCCATCCCTCCGGACGCCTGCTCCCTGGACAGTGACTACTCAGAGCCTGAGCACAAACTACAGCGCACCTCATCCTTCTCCACTGATGGATTGGGCCTGGGCGGGGTGAGCTGGAAGTGTGACCCCACCCCAGGGGGGCTGAGGCAGGGCAGGGTGGGAGCTGCCTGCCTGGTGCCATCGGCGCAAGAGACCGGTAGCAACAGTGAGAGGACGGGCTCCTGGGATTGGTGAGGGTATGGAGGGGGCCAGGGGGCTTCCCCTGATGTGAGGCCATGCGGAGTGGGATGGGGTGAGGGGTGCAGTTATGGAGATGGGCACACACAGACCCCACGGAGAAGGAGAGGGAGCCTGCGGAGCTCTTCATCAAACCAGGAGTTGCCAGTTTAAAAGCCCACTATGGCCCACCAAGCCCCAGGAGTTTACACACATTACCTCGTTTTAGCTCCACGCTGACCCTGGAATTCTGGGAACTAACATTCATTGAGTTCTTACAGTGTGCCAGGCACCGTGCTCTATGCTTTTCAAGCACTGTCTCATTTGTCTTCACAATCCTGTCAGGATTATTACCCCATTTTATGGATGAGTAGACCTGAGGCTCAGAAATGTGCTATGACACACTGGAGCCAGCAGTAAAAGCAAGATCTGTCATTCCCAGCCTTTGCTCCACACCACCATGCCGCCTTTGTCTTCCCCTCTCCTGCTCAATGAACCCTCCGCCCAAGCCTGCTGATGTGCACATTATTCCCCAAACCTCTGTCTCCCTTCCCTGCTGCCTGAATGGCCTTGTTCCTCCTCCTGGCTCATCTTTGAAGGAAAGGCTGACCTCTCCTTCCGAAGCCGGTTAAGCCCTTTCCCGAAAGCCCTCCCTGGCTGGCCTCTCGCTTATGCAGCCCCTGATCTGCCATCTTCTCATGGTCAGGTGTATTCCCCAGCCAGTAGGACCCTTCCATAGCAGGACCACCCATGCTTTATCTAGTCTTCTCTGAACCCTTAGCATGGTGCCCTGGAAATGCTCAATAGTTATTTTTCTAATGATAAAGCAGTGACTCACCTGGATCGTTTTGACCCGTGTGGTGTCCAGGAACCTCGGTGATTTCCCCCCTGTCCACCCCTCTTCTCTGCACCTTCTACCCCTGTAGGAGTCACTGGAGAAGTCGGGCTACCTGCTGAAAATGGGGAGCCGGGTGAAGACATGGAAGAGGCGCTGGTTTGTCCTGAGACAGGGACAGATTCTGTACTACAAGTCCCCGGTGAGACCCTCATTTCCCGGGACTGTAGTCTATAGGACCCCACCTCAGACTATGTGAGGGGGAGCTGGAAGAGGGGTAATGTAGCCTATGGTCAGAGGGCAAAGGTCTGGCAGGTGGGGAGAGGCAGCCTGGCTGGGCAGCTGAGGCTTTGAGCCACACGGGTACCATGAAGCTGGTCACTGGTTCTCACAGTGAAATCAGGCACTGAGCAGGCAAAGGCAAATTCTAGATGAGTTGACTTGGAGATTCTTTCTTCCTTCAGAAGCTGAGCTCTTCCTTTGCCTGGTCCTATAAAAGAACTGTTCTAACTGGAGAGCCTATTGCTTCCTCCACCTCTTTCCTATACTCTTTGGAATTAGGGCGCCTCAGATTTTGGGACCTCGTTTGAGAGGCCCTCCCTGGATAACCGATGTTAACGTTTTAAAGAGGGCAAAAAAAACTTGTGCCTTGTGCAACTCTAGTTGATTGGTAGTGGCTGTCTCAAACACCTTGTTAAGGATTCTGGGCCTGTATCGCTCAATTAGCAGTCATGCTCTGATTGATTAGTAATGTCTGCAGTGGCATTGGAAATGGTAATAGTGAGATATGCCACTTATTTGCCACACTTGGTATAAAAGATGTAGTGGAAAGAATTTAAGGGCTTTATAGCTCAGTAATAACCTGATGGCTTCTGACCAAATTTTAAAGGCTCAATCTATTCTATTTGAGGCCTGGGTCAGCAGGACCCATGTCTCTGATCATTGCTCCTTTTTAGCTAGAACCAGGATCCAGAACAAATTACCGATCATGCCATAGCCCAGGAAAGCTTGGGAATCACTTTCTCCTTGGCCTATGACCTGGAGTAAGAGGGGAAATGATGTGCTCTGGGAAGGCTCCAACCTCTTTCCTTCCCATGCCTTTCTTTACAGAGTGATGTCATCCGGAAACCTCAAGGTCAAGTGGAGCTGAACTCTCGTTGCCAAATCGTTCGAGGAGAGGGTGCACAGACATTCCAGGTGAGCATGGTCCTGGCAGCTAGAATTTTAGACAGAAGAGGTACTGGGTTTTGGATATAGCTGTGATAGAGACAAAAATGGGGCAAAATGGGTATATGTGAAAGACATTTCAAATCCTAATTTGTGAGTATGAGGAAGGAAGAAGAGACAGAGTGTGAAAGATAGAGTGAAGGTAGAATAGACAAGGGAAACAAGATAAGGAGGGAAAGAAGGGAGGGAGCACCACGGTAGGAAGAAAGAAGGCCAGGGGTTCAGGAATGTGTGCCACCCCAGAGCCATGTTTCTGTTATTCTATCCTTCTGTGTCCCCGCCCCCAATCCCTTACTCCTCCACAGCTCATCTCTGAGAAGAAAACCTATTACCTGACAGCTGATTCGCCCAGCCTCCTGGAGGAGTGGATCCGAGTACTACAGAGTCTGCTGAAGGTTCAGGCCACTGGGCCTCCAGCCCTGCCTCAGGGTGGCACCAAGCCCACCGTGAAGGGCTGGCTGACCAAGGTATGGATAGGCCTGGTGGGGGAGGCATACAGGCCTCCTGAGAGTCAGGGGAGCCAGGAACAGGAGTGCCAAGGAGCGGTGGGTCCCCTCCTTACACGTAACTCCTTTCTCCAGTAATTTCCTCACAAGGATTAGCTGGTTGGCCTCAAACATGGTCTGACCACTCAGATCATGGTGAGTGATCCTCTGGAAACAGATTAGCTATTCTCAAGACAGAAGAAGGAAAGGAATGCCTTGTACCCATTTTGAGGTCATTATGGGTTGCCCCCCATCCCCACCTGTACCCACCAGTATGAATAGTGAGGAGCCGCAACCTAGGTGAGGTAGGTGTGGCTACTCAAAGACTTATAATATCCCAGACCTGCCCTAAAGATATTTCAGTTAGGGCTCTTCTGGTTGCAAGGAGCAGAGAAGCATGTTATTATAGCTTCTTATAATAAGGGAAGTTATTATAGCAAGGAAGCACGTTAACTAGGCCCAAACACCTTCAGGAAGCAAAGCAGCTTACAGGAGCAAGCTCTCTCTCTCTAACCCCTGCGTCCCCATTCAGCCTGTGTTCACTTCAGTCTCCTCTGCCTGTGAACAGCTGCTATCCCCTCATGATTTACACTTGCCTACCAAGGCCCTTCCCTCCTTCTCAGCATCCTTACAACTCCAGCCTCTGCTGACTCGCAAGTTCTTCCCATGTTCACATTCCTGAGACAGGACATCTCATTGGCCTGGTTAATCTTTTAATGGCAGGTCGCACAAGGATGGATGGGGTGTCGTATGGTACACACCATGGCCCCTTGCTGTGAAAGGGCTGCTTCAGTTAGTCAGGAGCCTGGGTGGCATCTGCACTAAGGACCTGAGTTTGTCCAGAGGTTTTGAGATCTGCTTCCCTGTGGCTTCTCTTCGCCAGCCCTGGTTTTACTTCTGGGGTCACCTGATTCTAGTAATGCTGGTTCATTTCTGTCTTACAGGTAAAGCATGGCCACTCCAAGCTGGTCTGGTGTGCTCTCGTTGGCAGAACCTTCTACTACTATCGGAGCCATGAGGACAAGGTACTTCCCTGCCTCCCAACAGCACCTGCTCTCTCTTGCCCCAGAGCCCATTCCTGTGGCTCCATGTCCTGACGGAAGGCCCCAGCTTTACCCTCCACCCCACCTGACCCCACAACAAGTACGAAGCCAGCTGTTGGCTCCCTCTCGAGTGCATGGGCAATGTGCATGGCCCACCGACTCTGCCTGTGGGATCTTCCTGCACTTCTCCAAGCAAGCCTCAGCCAAGCAGTCTTCCCTTCCCATCCTGTTGTCTGTCCACGTCCATGATTTCTAACCCTACACGGCCTGAGGGTTCAGAGAGAGGAGACTCCCCTGTCCCCTGCTAGCTCTCCCGTTCACGGAAGGCTCTTGTCCGCAGCGACCCCTGGGCCACCTGCCTGTGCGGGACGCGCGCATAGAGGAAGTAGATCGATCCTGTGACTCAGATGAAGACTACGAGGCTGGAGGAACCCGGCGGTTGCTTTCCTCCCACTGCACCCTGGTGATCCACCCCGCAGAGCACAGCCCCACCTACCTCCTCATTGGCACCAAGCATGAAAAGGTAAGGGATGGGGCTGGGCCCCCATGGCCAGCTGGGACCTGCGATTCTCATCTTCCCTTCTCTCTTTCCCCTGAGTTTCTCCAAATTCACATTTATTCCCCTCCCAGACATTTTGACAACTAGTAGTCCCTGATTAGGAATATTCCTTATATTGAATTCTCTCCCAGTGGCCAACATATCTTCACTGGGACCATGAGATAGAACCACAAGCTTAGAAGCTAGGGTTCATGTTCACCTGATCCCGAGTCTTTCCTTTTAGAGATTGGTGGCCTTGACTTGTGCTAACCAAACCAGCTGAACTGCCCCCCTCCCCCACCCTGGGCTCGGCCCCTTCAAGAAAGCCTCCTAGAAGCTCTTGACTCCATTCTCCCCACCCCAGTTCCATCAGATGGCTTTCCATCCTCTTCCAGGATACGTGGCTTTACCACCTCACAGTGGCCGCAGGTGGCAGCAGTGCCAAGGTGGGCACTGCCTATGAGCAACTCATTGGAAAACTGATGGATGGTGAGGGAGACCCAGGTAAGGCAAGGGTGGCCATCGTGGCCTCGGTGAGAGTGTGGTGGCTGGGTAATTGTTGGTCAAGAACCCAAAGAAAGCACTACTGTACCCCAAAGCTGTTTTAAAACTGTCTAAGCCACAGAAGGGCAGTCCCGTCCCAAGCTCCAGGGCCCCTGTCTCTGGTGAAGATACTGAGGTAACCACTCTATCTAGGGGAGTTTATCTGGGAAGCCTGGGTCAATGTTTCACTTTGATTAACCTGCAGCTTTGCTGGCTGGGCAGAGGGTTGAGGAAAGGAAGGAGCTGGTTAACCTGTAGTTCGGATTTGTTAATCAGTAAGTGAAGCCTAAATTGGGATCAGGCTAACCAAAGCCTGGGATGTTTTGGGGGTCTTTATTTTGCTGCTGATTCTTAGGAAGCAGAGGCACTAACAGCACACACACCACCGTACTCCTTTACTGCTGCTCCACAGCTTGTCTATTTCAGGCCGATACACGCTCTCCATCCAGACCTGACACTGCAGGGAGGGAGCCTCCCCTGCACACACATGCTTGCACGCATGCCCACAACCTCTCACACTCGCCCCTATTGCATGCAGCCCCACTAGCGGAGCAGTAGCCACCTTCCTGTAAGCCATGCTTGTGAGTGTGCTAAATGCAGCACACAACTGCATACCCCACACTCTGGGTTTATGTAACCTGGCACAACCTGTGTGTCCCAGACAGTTAAACCCTCGTCTTTTCCACAGATCTAAGTGGGGGTGGGGGTGGGGGTGGGGGTGCGAGGCGACTTCCCTCTTCACTGGTAACTAATGCTGCTCTCCGCTGCTGTGCTTTGGGCAGATTCCCCCCTCTGGAAGCACCCCATGCTGTGCTACAGCAAGGATGGGCTGTACACCTCCCTCACCACCCTGCCCTCGGAGGCCCTGCAGACGGAGGCCCTCAAGCTCTTCAAGGTAAAGTGGGAGCAGAGCGCAGGCCCACCCACTGGTGGTGGGTGCCCTTGCCAAGTGCCCAGGGTCTCCCTTGAGCAGCTCTGCCCACCGTGGTGATCCTCAAGTGGAGGAGACCCATGCAGTTAGGGGGTGGCCCACAGAGGGATCTGAAGAGGAAGGAAAGGAGTCCCACAGGGTCCCCCCACTTCCTGTGTGGCAGGGAGGCCGGAAGCTCTGGGACTTAGTTCAGGAGCCCTGCAGAAGTGCCGGTGAAACTCCCCCTGGAGGAGCACCCTCCTCCTCTCGTGAACAGCAGGAAAGCCAGGGTTGTGTTGCTTCTGGACCTCAGAGATGCTGACCTATTTTAGAATGTCTTTGTGCCTGTCTGAATATTCTGTTTTTAAAAAAATGAATATATCTTGCTGATGTCATGGAAACATTTAAAGAAGGAAAGATTCATTCCAAAGTAGCCTTCTCAGCCAGCATAGATGCTCTCAAGCAGTAACAACGCTCCCTCTGAGAAGGGCCATCTGCGGGGAACAGGAGCCTCCCCTGAGCCCAGGAGGCGGGCAACCCAGTCACACTGTCACAGAGGATGCTAATGAAGGGGCTGTTGGGCTGCCTGTGCTCACTGTCGTTTCCCTGCCAGTCCTGCCAGCTCTTCATCAATGTGCCTGTGGAAGCCGCCTCGGTGGACTACCACGTGTCCTTGGCCCAGACGGCCCTGCAGGTGTGCCTGGTCCACCCCGAGCTGCAGAGCGAGATCTACTGCCAACTCATGAAGCAGACCAGCTGCCGCCCACCTCAGAAGCATTCCCTCATGCAGGTGGGCATCCCCGGGGGGGGGGGGGACAGCTGATAGGAGTCATTGACAAGGGCTGTCCAGAAGGTGGGAAATGTTGAAGGAGGCAACGGGGCAGGTGTCCTCTGAGCCTGGTAGTCAGTGAGCAGCCTCAGTGCTCCAAGTTGCCTCAGCGCAGCTGCCGTCTCTTTGCCCCTTCTGGGTGTCTGTGTACAGTCAGATTGTGTGATTGTTATTGTGGACAAAGTCTGACCAAGTTGGCCATCCAGTACCCGGAGAAGTTGGGGGCTCTGATCTGGAGAGAGAGCTGAAGGCTGTATAGCTCAGGACTGTGAGGGCTGGCAACACTGCAGACCCAGCACTCACTCCACGCTGCCTGTGTCCCCTGGCAGTGCTGGCAGCTCCTGGCTCTGTGCGCCCCACTTTTCCTGCCCCAGCACCACTTCCTCTGGTACGTCAAACAGCAGCTCCAACGCCACGCAGACCCCAGGTGAGTGAGCGCCATTTCCTTGGCTGCTGTAGCCCGCCTGACTGTGGTGTGATTAAGAGGGATGCAGGGGAGACAAGGATGGATCAGATCACCCCCACCCTCAGAGATTTGCTCAGTGGTCATGGAGACTTCACCCATTGCTGTGTACACAAATGGGCATGTATGGATGTTTTGTGGGGGCTCATGTGAAGCTACATTGCCCCCAAATTATTCCTAAATGTTCATTCTATGTTGCCATGTTCATATAGGCCCTGAATTGCAAATGAACACCCCCCAGGCCAGTCTAAAGGGCTTTTTTCACAGCTGGCCCCATCTGCAGACTTGGTCCTCTCCAGGTCTGGGGAGGGAGTCGGGGTGTCATGGTGGCAGGGAGTGGATTCTCTAGTATTCCCTTCCTCCTTCACCTGTCTTTGTAGAAATGAAACTGGCCAGTATGCCACCTACTGCCAGCGGGCAGTGGAGCGGACCCTGCAGACCGGGGAGCGGGAGGCCAGGCCGTCACGCATGGAAGTGGTGTCCATCTTGCTGCGGAACCCCTTCCACCACTCCCTGCCCTTCAGCATCCCCGTGCACTTCGCCAATGGGACTTACCAGGTGAGGAGGTGGGTGCGCGCCCTGGCCTGTGTCTTCTCATATTACCACAGGGCCAGGTGGGTGCTAAGCCTCCTTAGGCTCGGCAGATTTTTTTTTTTTTTTAAAGATTTTTGTTGGGGAATTGGGGGATGGGAACAGTGCTGGGGAATTGGAGGAAGGGGAACAGACAAGTTGCTGTCGTTTTGTTCTTCAGTCTAGTTGTGGAGGACGTTGCTTCACTGGCTCAAGTTGGCACCATCATTGTGCTCTTCCCGGGCGAGGCAGATAAGTCGCCGGCTTCTGGACGGCCGCTCACTGCGGCTGCTGGCCGCTCACGCTGGCTGCTGGCTACATACAGTAGCCCATGGCAACCCACTGCCACAGGGGCTGCAGCCTACGCCATCACCGGCGACTCACGGCAGCCCAGCTCCAGGTTGAGCTGTTGTTCAGCATCTCAGCTGTGGAGGACAGTGTCACTGGCCCTCATATGTGGGATTCGAACTGGGATCCTCTGGCGTTCCAAGCCAGTTCTTAACCATCGCGCCACTCGGCCGGCCCTCGGCAGATTCTTAACAGGCAAACCCGCAAAAGGACAGGCCTGAATGTGGGGGTGGGAGTGGGGGTGGTTTGTGCTAGTGTAGGCAGAGCAAGGAGCTTGAATTGCAAAAGGGCTCCACTATTTGATATCCTGGAAGTAGATCTTTTAAACCCACTGTATGAACAGGGAAGCTGAGACACTGACCAAGAAAGTGGCACAAAAAGACTTCCTCTGAGAGGGCGACAGTACAGGAGAACCAGGGCTTATGTCCCATTCCAGTTTCCACTGGGCAGGCGCGTCCCTTATGCACGCACACTCTGCATGTGAATACAGAATATTTCTTTGGCTCTTGCATTCGCTCTTGCTGCTTGCAGCCGAGCCTCTGCACCTTCCGGACACAGACCCTTCTGCAAGCCCTACTGCGCTCTTCTCAGGAAGCCCCTCTGGGATTACCACCTCTCCCCTACAGGTCGTCGGTTTTGACGGCTCCTCCACAGTTGATGAGTTCCTCCAACGGCTGAACCAGGACACAGGCATGAGAAAGTCATCCCACTCTGGCTTTGCCCTCTTCACGGATGATCCTTCTGGCAGGGACCTGGAACATTGCCTTCAGGGGAGCGTCAAGGTGATGGCCTCCCTGCTAAGCCAGTGGAGTTTTGGTGGTGGGGAGAAGCCCGTCTGGCGAGGGGTGCCTGACTGTTTTGCAGCCTGTTTGGTGCTGAGCCCAAGGTGCTCCCGTGGGCAGGCATTTCCGTGCCATCCTAATATGTACCCTCACAGGCAAAGTGGTTTGTGTCCTTGTCTCTGGAGAGAAGATCTCTATACCCCTCCCTGCCTTGAGTGGCTGTGCAGCATCCAGGGGAAAAGCTGCTTCTCAGCCGGCGTAGAAAGGACAGGGAGGCACCTCTCAGCAGCAGCCCCAACCGAGCCTGCTGCCAGTGACATGTACACATACATGGGCTGACAACTGTATGCCTGGACCCACCGGAGGTCGTGTCGCACATTGGCACCTCGCTCGTACCCTGTCTGCCTGGGCCTAATTATGCTTATGGGTTCACCCACATGTTAAGGAGGTAGATCCTTATGGTACTTCTGTCCTAAAGGCCCTTAAATAGGATTTAAGACCTATCCTGTACTGTGGTCTGCGATGAGAGCCATGGGACATGACAAGTTTGGGCATGTGCTGTAGCACTCGGTGATTATGAGTGTTTTGGGTCCAGTGTCTGCTTTCTTTATGGCAACAGGACAAAGGCTTCGGTAGTGTTTTACCATTGCCTGGAAAAACTCTGCCACAATACCTTCTTTGCAAATGTCCTGGGATCTGTAAGCCTTTGTTCCCTAGTAGGCCTCTGGGTCTATTTGCTGAAGAGGAGGATGGCTGTCGGTGGAATGGAAATGGAGCCGGTGATAGGAGGCCATGGGTTTTGACATGCCTCGCCTCCGGGGAAGCCCCCTCCGATGTTAAGGCCAGTGGGGGCAGCTTCGCTTTGCTGCTCATGCCATGCCCAGGGCTACACCTCTCTGTCTATGAGGAAGTCCCAGGCACCTTGGGTTCCCCTCCTCAGGGCCTTTTCTGACTTTTTCCTTTTGCCTCTTCAAGATCTGCGATGCCATCTCCAAATGGGAACAAGCCCTGAAGGAGCTGCACTCTGGAAAGTCTGAGGGTGGCACACGTGTCGTGAAGCTGATGTACAAGAACAGGTCCTGAGCCCTGCCCCAGAGTGGGACCGAGCATGAGGGCTGCCGCTGGGGTGCCAGCTCATCGCGTCCCCCACTGAATGGCTTGTGCCGCGCAGGCAGGGGCCCCACAGATATAACACTGCGTGGTGGTCATTAGCTGGGGGCCTAGGCTGGCTCTGCCTATCCTCTGTGAGGCCCTGCACAGCTCAGGCTCCCAGTCCCTATACTGAATGTGCACACACACGTGTGCATGTACGCACAAGCATGCACGCGCACACACACACCTGCCAAGGAAACAAACCAACCTCATGAGATGGCTGCATGTGTTACATTAGGAGTGTGAAATTTTGTATGCGCACTGGATATTTAAGGCTAAAGAATACATTGTTCCTACACCAATTCCAGGAAATACAAAAGTAGACATCCTGACTTTTTTACCAATTAGTGAGAAAATTCCATCCCAGACATGTCTCCAGGCAAATAATTTCCATTAGTCTCTCGGAATCTTAGCTTATCCAGTTCCCTAATAAGCTGTGACTCCTGTCACCAGATTCCCTTCACCAAATCCAGGAAGTCTAACAGTTTTTCCAGAATTAACCACGTGCTACTGTTGCTATAAAATCTGAATGGCCCTGTGGGTGCTCTGTGTCGTGCTTGGTGAAATTTTTCTGGAGGTTAAATTGAAAATAGGCTCACAGATGGTATAAAGAGTTGTTTCTTTCTTTAGAAATCAAGATAAACAGATGCAGAGATGGCCTCCTCCGCTTGTGATCCCGGCTGACCTGGCTTCTCACACTCTTCCCTTTAGGCTGTACTTCCGGAGTCAAGTCAAAGGCGAGACGGAGCGAGAGCGGCAGCTGCTCGCCTTCCAAACTAGTGGAGAGATAGTGGCAGGGAGGTTTCCTGTCAACAAGGAACTGGCTCTTGAGATGGCTGCCTTAATGGCCCAGGTAAGGTTCTGTTTGCGGTCAGGAGGGCTAGGACACCATCTTTGGACTCCCAGATAGAAGGCACCACACAGCGTGAAACACAGGAGATTGTGCAGATCCTCTGGTACCAAAGGAGAGGGCGGCCTTGCTGTCCCTGGCTGTGGAGAGAAGCTGACTCCTTACCCAGCAGAGCTCCTCACTGCAGATACAGGCTACGTGCAGAACTCTGCATATGGAATCAGTTCTGGGTTTGAGTTCTAGCCACCTTCCCGTTATGAGATCGTGGCCAAGTCACTGTACTTGTCTGTGCTTTAGTTTCCATTTTTGTATACTGAAAATAAAAATACCTCCCTGCCTGCCCCTATAGGGGTGTACTACATATGATTTTTAAATAATCTATATCACATAATGTGTGTGATAAACTCTATACTTACAGCTGTCAAACATTAGAATTAGGAAAAAGATCAAACTTCGACTCTTTTCCCTGTTACCTTGGGATACCTTCATGGTTCCCATAAGAAAGAGTCTGGTTCTCCATGCTGGAGAGGAATGGGAATAACAGTTGATGTTTAATAAGCATTTATTGAATGGTCTATAGAAGGCCCTGTGCTAAATATTTTATGTATATTAGACCATTATGTTCTCATCCCCACATAATAGATGAGGAATTGAAGCTCACAGAGTTTAAGTAACGTGATTAGGATTACAAAGCTGGTCAATGGCAGAGCTGGGATTTGAGCCAGGTGTGCGACACCAAAGGCCACATCTGGAACACTCTGCTATACAGTCAGTTCTCAATGCTGTCAATCAGTTCTGCGACTTTCAGCGAAACAACATTATAACGAAATGACATTGAACAAAACGTTCTTCGCGGATCTGCTGTACTCTAGTATCTAGCATCTTCAGCCCTGTAGCCCATATTTTTGGATTGGAAGCAAGAATTTCTACATTGTTTTCCTTTGTCTGCCACTCATTAACTATGTCTTTAGATAAGGTACTTAAGCTGAGCTGCAAAATGAAAATTGGTCTAGATAATCTCTAATATTCTAGGACTCTAAGGTTTTTTCTCTAGTGTCTGTGAAATTGGAGATAAAGGGTCTGTTCACAAGAAGTGTTTTTTCACATCCACTCACACCTCCCCAATAAAGTAATGAAGTAATGTTTTTTTTCACCTCTCTCAACAGCCCATCCCCACTCCCACCCCCACCATATCCAGATTCTGTTTGTTTGTTTTTTTAAAGATTTTTATTGGGGGGTTGGGGAAGGGAACAGACAAGTTGCTGTCCTTTGGTTCTTTAGTTGTGGAGGACGTCGCTTCACTGGCCCATGTGGGTACTGTGATCATTGTGCTCTTCCTGGGAGAGGCAGTCAGTTGCCGGCCATTGATGGGCCACTCACAGCAGCTCACGCCGGCTGCCGGCCACTCAGCTGTCGCCAGTGACTCACGGAAGCCCAGCTCCAGATCGAGCTGTTGTTCACCATCTTAGCTGTAGAGGGCGCAGTGTCACTGGCCCTCATGTGGGATCCGAACCCGTGGCCCTGCTGCTCAGAGCTTGCACTCCCAAACCAACTCTTAACCAGCGAGCCACTCGGCCAGCCCAATGTCCAGATTCTTGACTTGTCCCTCCATGTCCATGTGCTTCTACCACAGGTAGAGTATGGGGACTTGGAGAGGCCCATCCCACCAGGCCCTGGGGGTACACCCCCTTCCAAGGCTCAGCATCACCTACAGCAGGTTCTAGACAGGTTCTACCCAAGGCGCTACAGACATGGGGCACCCCCTGAACAGCTGAGGTAGGCTGCAAGGTCTCCTGGGCTGTCGCTGTGGGGAGGCATGGGCTGCAGACTGGGGGAAGCCCTCAGAGCTGTGATGAAGACATGTTGGCACTTCCCTGGCACCATTTCTCTCCATCTGTCCAAACCAGGCACCTGGCAGATCAGCTGAGCACAAAATGGGCAGCACTGCAAGGCTGCTCCCCTCCTGAGTGCATCCGCATCTACCTGACGGTGGCCCGGAAGTGGCCCTTCTTTGGTGCTAAGCTCTTTGCTTCTGAGGTAAGTGCGGGTGGTTTACAGTGGAAGGAGTGGTTACCACCCTCAGGAATGCCCTCAGTGTCTCCTGGAGCTACTGTCCCCCATCTTGCTGTGTTTGAGCCCCTCCACTCTGCAGCATCTGCCTTCATACTAGCAACCACCAGGGGTCGCTCTCTCTCCACCCATTTCTGGCCTATCCCCATTTCCATGATCTAGAGCAGTTATTCTTTGCTTTGGGGCCAAGTTTATTTCTGGGTGACCGTCATCTTTCTTTTATTGACTTCTCAGTGCTGCCCAACTAATTATAAAGGCATATAACAGGGGCCCACTAGGTCTGGGAAGCTGGGGAAAGCTTCTGAAAAAGGTGACATGTCTGTCTCTCCCCAGCCTTTTGAGCAGGAGAGACAGGAAATCTGGACTGCCCTACTGCAGCTCTGGCAGTGAATATTAGTCATTCTAGGAATTGTCCATCAAATAGTTACTTTTCTCACGGGTAGGATCTAAAGCCCATAAAATTGCATTCTTGCTTTCCTGTTGTACAGTCCCTAGGAAATTGGTTGAAGCAATTGCACCCGAGCTGGGAGAGACGGTAGACCGCTGTCAGTTTCTGAGAACTAGGAGAAAACAGCCCGTTCTCCATGCCCATGACAGCCAGGGCTAGCCTCTATTCTGCAGTACAGATCTTCCCAGCCAGCGTGCTGTGGCAGGATGGGCGATAGGTACTGCAAGAGAGTGCATTCCTCTCACCTGGGGATTGTCAGTGGGTAGCCAGAGCCCCAAGGCCAGATGCTCCCTGTCCGTTGACTCCAGCATGCTGTACAAATCTCATCTTTTAATGTTTTCCAAGACCAGAAAAAGGTTGGAAATCACTGCTTGGCAGATCCCTGGATGTGCCTTCCTCAGAAGGGTCTCATGATTCAGAACCCCTAGCTGGGGATATATCTGATGGGATTTTCCTGTTTCCCCAGCCCGTACAGCTGTCTTCCAAGGAGAACACCCTGGTGTGGATTGCTGTGAATGAGGACGGTGTCAGCATCCTGGACCACAACACTATGGTATGGAAGGACGGGGGCTGGCTCCCTCACCCCCTCCTCCTAAACAGTGTCTTTTCTTCTCTTTGGATTCAGTGGCCTGAGCTAAGTGACCATGGTCCCTGTCCGCCCCGCCCCCGCCCCTTCCTGCCCAAGCACTGCTGTTCTCTAGTCTAGACACAGTTTGTAGACCTTGAAGATGTAGATTTCCAGGTTATGACTTCAGATTTCTCCCTTCCTGGCTGAGGCTCCCTGTGCTTAGAAGAGACAGGGAATGCTGGTTCCTCGCTCAGGAGGCAGGTAGAAAGTTTCCCCAGAGCTGATTGGCCCTTTCTCACAGCAAGTGCACATCACTTACCCCTACTCTTCACTGATGACCTTTGGTGGCTGCCGCGATGACTTCATGCTTGTGATTAGAACCGTTCCAGACCAGAGCTCTGGAAAAGGCCACATTGAGAAGTTGATCTTCCGGATGGCTGTCCCCAAGGTGGGTCTGAGAGCTGCTAAAATATTTTACTCTGATCTGGTGTGAAGAGGTGGGCTGGGAGCTTAGAAAGGAAGCTGGGGTTATGACATTATTCTAGAAGGGCCCTGCTCCAAATAAAACTTTTGGCCTTGTCTGTAATCAGCACTCCAGTGGGTCCAGGTGGAGTTGCATCTCAGTAGTCACTGCTGAGCAGTAGGTGAGGGGCTAGCTGGGAGGAAACGCGCTCTGGTCTAGCCACCCCTGTGCTCTTCACATTATCTATTCAGTTCTCTCAAGCCTCAGCACCATGCGGGCTTGAGTCGGATGCCCGCTTGCTGTTCTCCTTGCAGCAGGCCCAGGGCCAGGGCAGCTTCCTCCTCAGGATGCTCTCACCTTATCCTGGGTTCTGCTGTCCCAACACTAGTCACAAAGTGGGACAGTCTGTGCATGCTCCCCCTTCCTTGTGGTCTTGAAGACTGTCCAGAGACTTCTTTTGCTTGAAGGGCTTTGTTCCTACTCCGTAATGTTACCAGCAAAAATAACAATTACAAAGACTCGGAAACCTAAGTCCTGATTTATAGTTCCTGACTCCCTTCTGAGAGTAACTGAAAACCCTGTTGTTTTAATCCTAAAGTTGGAGTTTGCCAAACCTTCTCTTTTAATATCACCACTGCCAACTGAGAGGCTATACAGACCGCTTCCTCCAGGGAGGCCCCCTTCCCTAGTTTGGAGCTAACCAGAGTGGAATGTCGCCCCTCCTGTTCTCAGGAGGGTACTGCGCATCTCAGAGGACCTCCCGACCTCCATTTCATTGGGCCCCTGAACCTCACAGTAAATAATGATCCCCTTTGGACATTTTCTTCCAGGTGGGTATTTTAAGAGATGAAGAAACTGAAGCCCAGGAAGGTTATGTACCCAGTATAACAGCTAGTAAGTGAAAGCCAGGATTCAGGCCAAGCCTAGTTCAATTCCTTTGTTTCTCTGTTGTCTCCTTAAGATTGCAGAGGCTACTTTCATCATGGCCAGCTACATGAACCATTGCTCTGCAACTGTGAACCCACCCAGCAACCTGCCTGCTGCCTGCAAGCCGTGGGAACTGGATGGACAACAGTTCTTTGCTTCTGTTCCATGTGCCGCCAAGGGGCCAACGTTGCTGTGAATATTTCTCTTCCCCCTTTCCCCAACACCTGGTGCCTCTGGAATTGCAGCTATGTATCCTGGGGCATGATACTACTGTGATGGGTCTAATAGCCCTCCCCTCAGCCTCAACCCTGGTTTGTTCTGTGAAATGTGTTATTTCAGTGTCCATGAAGCCTTTACTTTCTAGGTGCCGTATGTTTCAAGACCCAATATAAAAACCACTTTTTTTTTTTTTTTTTTAACAAGAATACTGAGCTCTGGATGCTGCCTTCTTCTAACACAGATAGGGATGTCCACTGTTACTGGTACTGAGGGCGTCAGAGCTTTCCCCACTGATCCTCTCAGGGACGCTAATATTTTTTATATTGTATACCGTCCTTATGTGGGGATTTATACTTGAAGTTTTCCCAACATTCCTGCATAGAATAGGACTAAAATTTCCAATTCACCTGAACTCTGACAACAGCCCAGAACTCACTGAAACTAGACTTCCTTTCCCAGATGGGAAAGGTGTTGATAGGGCTAGAGAGAAAGGAAGACTCATTTTCCGCTTCCCCTAATGCAAATGAGGCGTTTGCAGTGCAGCTCCTGTCTTTTGCAGGACAAGCTCTCCCTGCTGAGATTGAAGCTGCTCTCCCTCACACTGCACTGTAAGCCCACTGAGTGCAAGCAAGGGCAGGGGGGTAGGACCAACCTGACCTCTCTGTCTCATTTTAACGACTGGACGGGGCTCAGTGAAGGCTGTGCTCACTACTGTAGGATGTGGTGGTGGTCACTTGTTTCCCCGCTCTTTACAAGACTAAGCAAATGCATTCTGCTTTTTGCTGCACTGAGGCCACTAAAGATGAGTCAGAAACGGAAGACCCCTCTGGGCTTCTGGGCCTGGATTTGCTCCTTAAGACTTCCGGCGAACTTCCGCTGGGAATCAGTTTGAGGACAGAGGGCACATATGTGATACCTGTCCTAGCTTAAGGGCATCAGGTGAAAGAAATTGAATATTTCTTTCACCTTTTTCCTTCCTGATGATACCAGTATTCCCACAGCCCCAACTGAGACCTCTGTTGAGTGCAGAGATTATCTTTGTTTTCACACTCCCCTAACAGAAAAAAAGACGAAAGAGTTCATTTGTACTCTGATTTTCCAATATTGGAGAAACTGAGTTTTATTTCACAGCTCTAATGGCAGTCTTACCATCTGTCAATAAAGTGCTGAAAACTGTATGGGTTTAGTGGGAGCATCCAAGAACCCAGCCTTTAACCCCAACAAAGTGTGTGTGTGTGTGTGGCACAATACAAACACTGCACGGCTGGAACTAGTTTCTGTGAACACCTCAGCTGCTGTAAGTTTCCCCTCTCACCCTTTAAACTGACAAGCATAATGAAAGAAAGCAGCACACCAGAGTGTCTGCCTCTTTTAAATGAACTTGACTTTGCAAGGCTGGCAATTTTACAGCCATCTCCCATTTCTGTTCCTGCCTTTCCCCCAGGTTCTGGGATCTAGCTGGGACATTTCTACCTCGAACAAGTCAATACGTCACATGTACCACAGGCTCCTGAAGAACCCCTCTCCAGGGCTGGTGTAAAAGGCAGAAATTACAACTCTGGTTTTGTAATATCTTCCTGTCTCAAAGGCCAATGAGGACAATAACATCTGCCTGGGAGTTTAAAAAAAACTAGGATCCCAAAGAAAAAGTAGGCAAGAATGGAGCTGTGATCATACAGAATTTGGGGGTTCAAGCTATTGCCCCCACCCTGTCCCCTTCCCAACACTTCAGGAATCCTCCCTTAGTTTGTGAATTTTCTACAGAAGAAACTGCCTTATAAACAAAGGCTCCAATAGTTTGTGTGTTTATCCTTCTTTAACATGTCTGGAAACCCAAGTCAAATTTCTGTCTGGCCTTTTGTCTCATCCCTCTTGGCAAAAGAAGGTTTTGAAACCATAGACAATGCTGAATAATAGAAAAGTATTAATGTGCTTCACACCCATGACTGAAAAGCCACATTCATGTTTGTCAATAAAAAGCATCTCTCTGTGAACCAGGCAATTATCGTGTATGTTTTTATCGTGAAGGAGATTTATTAAGAGAGTCATCATAAATTAGCCCTATACAGACACGGGAGCTAGGTGGACAGAGTGTCTTTTATAGGAAATTTCTTCCTGCTAACCAGTACCAGAAGGGCATGACTTTTTTTCTTAACTTTTATACAGGAGTACTATGCAGTTGGAAATCGTCTTTCTCGAGATCTGATGTTTTCCCATTGTCTTGCTCCACAAATTTCAACAAAAAGTAAACTTGAATGTGCTTAGGAATTTCACAGAGTGTTCTTTGTTGACATAACTTTCGACATAGCATTTCTTAAGGTCTCCCCTCAGTTGGTAAAGTAGGCAAAACCTTACAAGGGGAGCTCTGAAATACACAGAAATACTTGGCTCACATCATACAATAAGCTGGATTTCCAGTCACCTGCTCTATGGCTCTGAGATCCATTGCATCCATCCAGGTTTCTAGGACTGTGTCCACCTGATGGTTTAGAATACAGACAACACACCAGCCCCTAAGGCTTTGGAGTCATTTCCCATGGAGGACAATACTAGCCTTGTGAATGCTGGGACTCATGGGCTTGTGGATGTGGCTTTCTGATGTGCCAGGATCTCCTGGCAGCTCCTGTACACTTCAATCAAGCAGTCCAGCCGGGGCTTGGCATTCTGAATTCCAAAGGGAAGAAATGCATAGTCAAGATGAATGTAAGAGAGTGCTTAGTAGTGTTGCATCCACATGCAACCTCAATCTCTCACCTACATCAAGGGGTCTACATGGCACAGGTATGGACTCAGAAAGGCAGAAGTTCAGGCCTCACAGCACCTTGCTGGAAGGAATCCTTCACTAGGCCCATAGCCCAGCCTGTGAATTGTGTAAAGTAGGAGCTCAAAAAACACTTTTTATTCTGTCTAAATTTCATGACCTCCATTTAAGAGCAAGCAAAAGGATTAACAAGGACAGACTCTCTTGGTTAACAATTTTTTTAGCTGAGCCATCCTGCCACCTGTTGGTAGCTCAGCTTGGGCCGGGACTCGAACCACTGTTGCTCAGAGCTCGCACTCTTTTTTTTTTTTTTCAAGATTTTTATTGGGGAATTGGGGGGATGGGAACAGCGCTGGGGAATTGGGGGAAGGGGAACAGACAAGTTGCTGTCGTTTTGTTCTTCAGTCTAGTTGTGGAGGACGTTGCTTCACTGGCCCAAGTTGGCACCATCATTGCGCTCTTCCCTGGCGAGGCAGATCAGTCGCCGGCTTCTGGACGGCCGCTCACGCTGGCTGCTGGCTGCATACGGTAGCCCATGGCAACCCACTGCAACAGGGGCTGCAGCCTACGCCGTCGCTGGCGACTCACTGCAGCCCAGCTCCAGGTTGAGCTGTTGTTCAGCATCTTAGCTGTGGAGGGCAATGTCACTGGCCCTCATATGTGGGATCCGAACCGGGGCCCTCTGGCGTCCCAAGTCAGCTCTTAACCAACACGCCACTCAGCCAGAGCTCGCACTCTTGAGTACGCTCTTAACCAACTGAGCTACTCGGCCAGCCCAGGACAGACCCTCTTGGGATGTGTCACAAACTGTGAGACAGTCCTCAGACACAAGGAGGGCAGTTTAATATGTAAATATTAAAAAATATTTTGTGGGCCGGCCGAGTGGCGCGATGGTTAAGAACTGGCTTGGGACGCCAGAGGGCCCCGGTTCGGATCCCACATATGGGGGCCAGTGACACTGCCCTCTACAGCTAAGATGCTGAACAACAGCTCAACCTGGAGCTGGGCTGCCGTGGGTCAGGACTGCCATAAGCTACCGTGTGTAGCTGGCAGCCAGCATGAGCGGTCAGCAGCCGCAGTGAGCGGCCGTCCAGAGGCCAGCGACTGATCTGCCTTGCCTGGGAAGAGCGCAATGATGGTGCCAGCTTGGGCCAGTGAAGCAACATCCTCCACAACTAGACTGAAGAACAAAACAACAGCAACCTGTCTGTTCCCCTTCCCCCGATTCCTCAACGCTGTTTCCCTCCCCCAATTCCCCAATAAAACCTTTAAAAATATATATATTTTTTGTATGATGAAATGTAATACAATCAAAAGCCACAGGATGGGAAAAAAATATATATGGAAAGCATATTTAATAACTTTGCTACCAAAATATATAAATTGTTACAAATGCATAATCAATATCTAGATTCTATTTGACTAATAGAGAAAATATGGATAATTTAAAACAAGAGAAAATACTAACAGGTAAATAACAAGGAAAAATGAACAGTCTCTGACATTTAAAGAGATACAAATTTAATAACTAAATTCCCTTACCTACATACTAAACTAAAAAATAGCTAAACCCACTGTTAGCCAAGACTGTAGAAAAACAAGCACTGGGCCAGCCGAGTGGCTCAGTTGGTTAAGAGTTGGCTTAAGAGCTCGAGCTCTGAGCAACAGGGCCACCGGTTCGATTCCCACATGGGCCAGTGACGCTGCGCCTAAGCTGAGCTGTTGCTGAGCTGCCAACAGGTGGCACGATGGCTCAGTTGGTATAACAATAAGACTGCCTGTTTGATGATGGGCTACGCCCACCTGTAACTAAGACTGAACTTGGCACCTTGAGCTGAGCTGCTGCCCGGATGGCTCAGTAGATAGAGCGCGCGCTCTTAACAAGGCTGCTGGTTCGACTCCCGCATGGGATGGTGGCTACGCCCACCAGCAACTAAGATTGAACACAGCACCTTGAGCTTAGAGGCCACGAACTGCCAACGGGAAGCCAGATGGTGACTAGCGCCCTCCACAACGAAGATTGAAGAACAACAACTTGGTCGGTCCCCTTCCCTGATTCCCCAGCACTGTTCCCCTCCCCAAATTCCCCAATAAAATCTTTAAAAAAAAAAAAAGGAAAAAGAAAAACAAGCACAAATTCTCTACAGTATGGTAAAGTTGTCCAATCTCTGGAGCCAAATCTCAAATACTGAAAAAAAAATTTACGGAACTACTCATAAGCTTTAATAAAATAATTTTGAACTATAAAGCAAAAGAATTTTAGCTTAGCTGCCTTAAATCCTTTGTGAAAAAGGGCAGTGAGGCAGAGTTAACTGCATACATAAATTACTTTATACACTTATAAAGTAATTTATTCTAATCATGTTTGTATAGGTCAGCAGTTCTCAACTGTCCTAATGCCACGACCCCTTAATACAGTTCCTCATGTTGTGGTGACCCCCAACCATAAAATTATTTTCATTGCTACTCTATAACTGTAATTTTGCTGTTATGAAACGTAATGTAAATATCTTTTTGTCTTCCGATGGTCTTAGGCGACCCCTGTGAAAGGGTCGTTCGACCCCCAAAGGGGTCACAACCTACAGGTTGAGAACCGCTGGTATAGGTGTTTGTTTTTATAAGTGTTTTTTTTTTAATTTGAAAGACAAAAAATAACCTGGATGTGATTTCAAAAGCTAGACACAGAGTGGCTAAATAAACAAATATTCGACATTATATAATTACCTAAAATAATAAGTATAATGGCCTTTGTAGATATATGTAAATATACATGTTAGATTTAAAAAGCAAGATATAAAATAGTATATAACAGTGTGTAGATCACTAACATCTAGTAAAATCATATACCTGTAGACTAACACATTCAAAGTAGATGAATGGTGATTTACAGGCAGAAGTTGCTAAATATTTTTTCTCTGAAATTTGTATTAATTTATAATATTTCTGAAAGCCTATATAGTTGCCTAGAAAGGAGCTTCTGAAATAACGAAAATCCTACTTCTCACTAACAATAGCATCAGGTATCCTCAAATACGCCTGACAGCAAAAGTTTCCATTCCTACTGGATATAAGTAGCAGTGGATATGCAGCGAGGAGGGAAAGGTAGAGGATTTCTTTGGAGAAGAAACTTGAGCAAAGTTCTGTGCTCACCTGGAAGACAGGTACTACTTGGGATATTTCATTTGGTTCCACCGGATCCTTCAATAAAATGCAGAGGTAGTAAATCACCTTCTGCTGTAAGAAAATAAACCAGATAGCAGCAATCTAAGTAAAGCTCATTTTGGTTTTTTTTCTTTAAGGGAAGACTCAAAACTGTTTCATAAGTGGTTATCTCTAAGTAGTACAACACTTGCTAGCTTTTGAAGTGAGGCAGAGGTATATTCTCATTGTTTAAATGAAAAAAGACAAAATAACAGCAACAACAACAACCAGAGATGACTCTGAAGCTGGGCCAGAAAATAAAGGTGAAATGCTGACTCCCTATCCAAGAAAAACTGCCGTGTCTCCTTAAAAATAAAGGGACATAACTTTTCAAATAAATTTCACTTTTATGGTTTATAAACCTGCCAGCCAAAAAGGAACACTACAAGTACTGAAACAGAGTCTTCAAGTTCAATTCTGTGACATCAAATACTTCAGGTATTAAGACAGTTTAGACCCAGGCACACCCCATGGGCTCCCTCCTCCAGAGGGGCCTGTAATACTTATCACTTAAATACTTACCATGTAAATAGCCTCATTAATAATAACATCCTTCACCTTGCCCATCTCAATGAAGGTGGTACTTTCTTTGCCAGAGGCATAGGATGAAGTCATCTGGATGCCAAGGGAATCAATGATTAATAGAGTCTCCTGATCAATCTTCACAAAATGGAGGTAACCAAGCAGGCCTAAGAGGGTGACGAAGATGGCAGCAGAGAGGATCATGCTGTTCTGAAGAGAGAGCCAGACACAGGCAGTAAGATTACCAAGTGGTCCTCTGCCTGTATCTGCTGTTTAATAATTCTAGGCAATGCAGGAAAAAAACCTTTGTTCTGCTGTGGGTTGAATAGATGAGAGGAACATGCATGGAAGAAGAGGAAATCACTTTTATTTGTGCTCTGCAGTGCTGTAAAAGCATCTGATGAAATACATCTAGACAACAAATAGATAGGTCTGGGGACGAGAACCTCCATCAGCAAAATATTCACCATCTCACTACTCAGAGATTTTTCTTCCAAAATTGCAACTTAAGGACTCAGACCTTTTCCTCTAAACACTCCCTCAGCAGAATATATAGTGTAAAATCATAGACTGAACAATAATATAATGCTTAGCACAGTGTAACAGATACTACTCAACAACCACGCCCCCTTCCTAATAGAACTTGGAGTGAATCATGATTGGCTTAGAAATGGACACACGACACAACTCTGGCCAATGAGATGTGAGAGGAGGTTGGCTGGAGGGGCTCCTGGAAAACTAAGTCCATTTTAAAAAGAGATCTAAGGAAGATGCGGTCCCTTCATTCTGAGGTTTTAATACCTGGAACTACTATCGACTCTTTCAGATCACGTGGAAAGTAAGTTAGGCTGAGGACAAGTACACCATGATGAAAATAAATAAAATCTACTGAGCCTCTTATGCCCTCCAGAGCCCTCCTACCTGCTGACCTGTGTGCTAATTATTTGTTGATTAACAGATGGAGAATGGAGAACTCTATGTGCTGGGTGTCTGATGTTCCAGAAATATCTACTTTGAGTTAATTAAATGCCTACTATCTAACACAGTGTCTTGTACATAGTTAGCATTAAAGCATTATAAAAGAATGGAAATAAAATTCAGTCCTGGCCCTTACAGATTTATTAGAGGCAAGATTAATTAATATATAAAATATTTTTGAAGAATATTGTGATACTGACTATAAGTACGTAAGAAAGGATTGGGGCAGGGGGAGGGGATTAAAACACACAGGAATGTCTCATGAAGATTTCCAAGGATGCAGGATGTAATTGGTGCAGAGGAGGTGGTGGTTATTGATACATCTACTTAGCTGAGAAAAGGGAGGGGGAAGAACAACATTCCAGGCTGGGATAAATAAGGTAAAAACCTGGAATTTTAGGGCCGAGTGGCGCGGTGGTTAAGAGGCTGGCTTGTGACGCCAGAGGGCTCTGGTTCGGATCCCACATATGAGGGCCAGTGACACTGTCCTCTACAGCTAAGATGCTGAACAACAGCTCAACCTGGAGCTGGGCTGCCAGTGAGTCGCCGGCGACGGCGTAGGCTGCAGCCCCTGTGGCAATGGGTTGCCATGGGCTACCGTGTGTAGCCAGCAGCCAGCGTGAGCGGCCAGCAGCCACAGAGAGCGGCTGTCCAGAAGCCGGCGACTGATCTGCCTCGCCCGGGAAGAGTGCAATGATGGTGCCAACTAGGGCCAGTGAAACAACGTCCTCCACAACTAGACTGAAGAACAAAAGGACAACTTGTCTGTTCCCATCCCCCAATTCCCCAATAAAAATCTTAAAAAAAACAAACAAACCTGGAATTTTAATAAAAATGTGAATTCAAAAACTGGAAGGAAAGAAGGGATGAAGAGCAGTAAATCCTTAGGGAATTTGATCCATGTCAGCTTTTCAAGAAGGCAATCTCTATCCAAAACTTCATTATTACCTACATTTGTTTATACTTCATTTTTCTGTTTAACAATTCAGTATTCATTTAGGTTGAAGTTAAGCCATGTTTGGAGGAATTCCTTCATCATAATTCTTCTCACTCCTGGCTGAGATTCATCACCCTGATGAATAGTGTTGAAGAGGAGGAAAGATAAAAAGTTTTGGTACACAAAGCCCTTAAGAAGTGTTGTAGTGGAGTTGAAAGAAGATGCAGTTACTGAGTCCTGGGCACTCGATGGGGGGAAATGATAGTATATACCACGATGAAAGAGACAAGTACAAAAGGGAGCTGGCATAAAAATAAACTCAATTTAAAAGTTTTGCTTAAGCAAGCCCTCCCCTAGGAGGCGACATCACAGTTTAGTAGAAAAGACAGGGTTTCAGAGTCAGACAGCCCTGGGTTTGAAGCCCAGGTATGCCATTTACTAGCTTTGCGACTTTGGATAAGTTATTATGCTTCCCGAGCCTTAGTTTTCTTCTAAGGCTGAAAAGAGGCATTCAGTAAAGCTGCTGCACTCGGTGGGCATTTAATATCTGTTCCCTCTTCCTCACATGACCACATGGCCAGAATTCAGGCTAGTATTAAAATTCAACTATATTATAAATGAAATCTTTTTGGGGGATGGAGAGGGCTGTCCTGGCAAATTAGGCATTTCAACTGACTTATGAACAAACTTCTAGATACAAACTTTTAGATTTGGTACAAATTAGGACAGTGTTAATTATGCATACATCTATGCTCAATTCCCATGCCCTGAAATATGTTCTGATGGCAAAAAAGCTAATGGATACAGTAATGGAAGCTATATCCAAATTATAGAAATAAATAACCCAGCTGTACTTAGCTCTGATCAGGTCACTCCTGGGATAATATATTCAATTCAGGACACTACATATGAAACTAAACTCATCTTGAAAAAGGCAATCAGGATGATTCCTTGTATTTGAGGGCTATCACAAAACTACTGCTTGTGACCCTCACAATATGGTGAAGCTGGTATGGCAGATATTAATTCTATTTTAGAGATTAAAAAACGGAGGCTCAAAAAATAGGCATGAGTCTATAAACAGCATAGAAATCATCCATCTCTGAAATCTCGTAATTCTTTATAAAGTTCTTGAAGTTGGGAAAGCGGGTGGGAGGAGGGTGGGGTTAGACTGCCTTGTAAAAACAGAGAATAGGAAGAACTATCATGCTCTTAAATAATGTGTGTATGTATATATACACACACGCTACACACACACACACCACAGTGGAGGCAAAGACACTTTCTGGAAGACTATACTTCAGGTAATGTTATCTGTGATTCCTCTGAGGAGTGAAAGTGATGGATGAGGACGATCCACTTAATAGTTCTCTAAGCCCTTGGAAACGAATTACTATGAGCATGTACTATATAAAGCACATGGAAGTTAAAGTTTTAGGCTGTCGTGCAAGGACTAGATGTATGCCGGGTGAAGCCAGAGAACAGAGCAGCGACCATGGAGGGATCAAGTGCACGAGCACAAACTTCACGAAACGTAATGAGAAGAGCTGTCCAGCAGCGGAAGGGAGACTCCAGAACCAGCGAGTTCCCGCCCTCCGGCCCAACGGCTGTAGGAGGGTCTGGGGAGAGGTCCGGGCTCGACCCCGAGATCCCAAAAGATCCTTCCAAACTTGAGTCCCCGACTCCAACCGCGGGAAGGGGCCCACCCGTCATTACCTCACACAGGGTGAAGAGTCCGTAGGCCACTAGCCACACGGTGCAGGTGACAACGGTGAGTGAGCGCAACGAGAGCCGAGGGGAGCTGACGCAGAACTCCCGGCAGGATGGGGAGTAGTAGCGGCGCTGCAGGGCCAGGCGGCCGCCGCAGATATCCGAGAAGCTCTGCTCCTCCTCCATGTCCGGCTCGCTCGGACCCGGCCGGGCCCGCCGCTCTAGCCACCCGCCCGCGTCCTCTCGCCGGCTCTGAACTCACTTCCGGAGAGCGGGGTTGGCCACGCCCTTTACCAAACTCTGCGCAGCCTCAGTTCTGCGCCAAGACCCAATGGAGCGGTTTAGGAGGTTCAAGTTTTCGTGCTCTGACTCGCACAGGGCTGGAATTCTAGGATTATCTACTCCAGAGACTCGTAGGGGACTAGCAACTCAGCGGACAGATTAAAACCGCTATTAACGTGCTTTTGCCTGATAAACTGATTTATATTTCTAAGGCTGATTTCTATTTTCAAGGAGACAGCCCATTCTCATTCATCCATTCATTTCTGGGCCAGGAAGTTTCAGGTGCTGAGGATACAGCGGTGAACAGTATCGACAAGGTCCCTGCCTTCCAGTAGCTTCCTTCCTAGTAAGGGGGGGAAAAAAAAAAAGGAAATAATTTCAGAGTGCTGTTGGCAATAATATGACCAGCAGGGATGGCTTGGGGACTGGTATTCAGGAAAGCCTCTCAGGAAAGACACTGGATCTACAAGGACGAGGAGCCAGATTGGTCTGGGGGAGCTCTGGACTAGAAATTTGCCAGGAAGGAAGATCAGGAAAAGCAAAGGCTTTGAGGCTGAAACAAAGTTGGCTTATTGGCGGAATCAAAAGGTCAGAGAGGCTGACGCATGGGTAACGCAGGTGGAAGTTGTGGAGGGAGGTAGGGGTCAGATTCAGGAGAGTTGTAGGGCCTTGTTAGAGTTTGGATTTCAAAGCCTGGGGGTTCTGTCTCCCAAACCACAGCGTGGAGTATTGAATAGGCAGACAAGTCCTAGCTGGGAGGTAAGCAAGAGTGGAAAATGCAGAAAGTATGGATAATAAAAGTAAACTCGTGAGTAATTGCGGTCTGCAGCTTCCCTCTTTCTCCTTTGGATATGGCCCAGGAGTGTCTGTGTGGCCTGTTAAAGAGTTATAGTGCTTCAGCCCTGAGGCAGCAGCATGTATTAGAATTGATCCCTTTATGTACAAAGATAAATGGCCTAATGGTCTCACCAGCTTTAAGTCTCTCTGCTGAATGTTGGGTTCAGTTTCTCCATCTTTATCCAGGATTTTGTTTCCTTTTTTTTCCCTAAAGGGATTTCTTCCATAATTGCTTTGTTTTTCCAGTTTCTGTACCCTGAATCTTACCAATCAACACACCCCTCTCATTATGGTAATATCAAATGATGTACTTTATAATTATAAGAGAGATGTTTGCTTATTGTGGAAAATTTTAAATATAGATAAAAGAAAAATTTAAACCACCCATATTTCTACCACTCAGAAATAAACAATGTCAACGTTTTGGGGAAACCTCTAGTCCTAGAGTTTTTTTAACCTGGGCTCCATGGATAAAAAGCAGTTTCATCTTTAGTTTTATTAACCTCTGATTGAAATTAAAATTTATTTTGATTATGAACACAGGCAACAAACCAACTAGTAATAGTGGTTTTTGTCACTGATAGAAACCGCAGATATTTTCATTTCTCAATTGTTAGTTCTCTCAAAATATTATTTTCACTCATTAGTACTTCAAATTACAATATTTATTAGACCCACTACTAGATCTTGTTATTTAATGTCACTAGAGACACATATTACTATAACACATTTAAAAAATACTTTAGTAACTGTAGTTTCATTTAGTTTTTTTTTTTTAATCCTATGTATTTTATTCATTTTAAAACATAATAAGGGGTCCATTAGATTTACCAGACTTATAAAGGATCTGTGGCAAAAAAAGATTAAGAACATATGCAGGTTCAGAAGTTTCATAACTATAGAGTCATAGAAAAAAAGACACCTAAATGTACTTAATTTTGTTAATATTAAATTATTAGGGATAAATGGTAATAGAATTCCAAAATCTCTATAACCACTTTGCTCTGTGAGACCACAGCATCGTCTTAACTGTTATGCAGTTTGGCACCTCAGTAGAAACAGACTCATGTATTTGCCATTTACATAGACGCTGATTGAGATATAAAGGGACAAGTTCTTTTGATCGTGACCTTGTAAAAACAGCAAGGAATGATTCTTTTAGCTCTCAGTGTTGGACTTCAAAGTACCCACAAGCCTCAGAAGTTCAGTGGATTATATCAGCAAGGAAGGGCTGCTAATGAAAAGAACTTAGACTCAGCAGTTGGCAGTTTTCTCCGAGGAAGTTTAATATATTTCTGCAGAGTCACTGAAGGAGTCTTACAAGTACTTCTCTAGTAAATTCAATTGTGGAAAAGCAGAGGAAGGAAGCATGAGAAACGTGTACTCAGTATTTGTCAAGGTAGGTTCACCTCTATTTAAAAAATAAAATCAATTTCAGCAGCTTAACACAATAAATGTATATTTAATGTCCGTCTACAATTCCATTTGGGTGCTCCTGGTCAGGTGACTCATAATTTTTGCCAAGTAGTGGTGATTCAGCCATCCAGGTTCCTTCAATCTAGTGGCTTCATCATCCCTTGGGGCCTCCTCATGGTCCTCTCCATTGGACCCTCTGTATCTGGCTAACAGATAAGGGGCAAGAATGGAGAATCATACATGGGAGAGTTTTATAGCCAAGGCTTCCACCTATATTTCATTGGCCAGAACTCATTAACATGGCTCTACCTAACTTCAGAGGAGGCTGGGAAACATGGCCTGTGAGTATGCCCAGTAGGGAAAAAATGATTTGGTGAACTAGACAGTGTTTGTTATACTTTCCAAGTTCTGACTACAAGAACTAGGAAATATATTTCAGTGAATTGAGCATTGTGGTGGCAGTACACAGAATTAATCCAATTTACTTTTGACAAGATGGGTGATTATTTCTACTGTGAAGTTATTCTTGGAACCTGAGTGAATAATAAGAAAAAATTTAATCCTCTCCCTCTTGCCCTCTCTCCCTCTCTCCCATTCTCCCTCTCTCACTGTCAAAAAAATCTAATCAGAGTAGTCAATTTAATTTTTATGGCACATGCTGGATTCTTAAAACTATAGAACTTATTTTTTTATTTTAATTTTTTAAAAGATTTTATTGGGGAAGGGGACCAGCCAAGTTGTTCTTCAATCTTCGTTGTGGAGGGCGCCAGTCACCATCTGGCTGCCCATCGGCAGTTTGTGGCCTCTAAGCTCAAGGGGCTGTGTTCAGTCTTAGTTGTGGGTGGGCATAACCACCATCCCATGCGGGAGTCGAACCGGCAGCCTTGTTGTTGAGAGCGCATGCTCTATCCACTGAGCCATCTGGGCGGCAGCTTAGCTCAAGGTGCCAAGTTCAGTCTTAGCCCACCATCGAACAGGCAATCTTGTTACACCAACTGAGCCATCCAGCCACCTGTTAGCAGCTCAGTGACAGCTCAGCTTGGGCACAGCATCACTGGCCCATGTGGGAATCGAACCAGGGGCCCTGTTGCTCAGAGCTCTTGCTCTTAAGCCAACTCTTAACCAACTGAGCCACTCGGCTGGCCCTATAGAACTTTTTAGTATCTGCTTATACTTATGGATTAAAAGGTTGTTCTAAGAATAGTGTCTTATACTGTAATTTTTATTCTGTTGACTTTTTTATTACGTAGCATTAATGATTGCTGCTACTGTATTAACTGAGAATAGGTCTCCTATGTAGGGCCACTTACCCATAGGGGAGGATAAGTAAAGGCCTGTATAAATCAAAATAAACCCCAAATAGGCTTTTAAAAAGATAAGTATTGCCAATTACACCCTAATTTTTTAAAAAAGCAAATGGAAACTTATAAAAGTTGTTGCAATTTAGTGAAATTAATCAATAAATTAATTCACTTTGCATAAAAAGGTAAGTATAACACATTTTATCTTTCCTTGTTTAGAATTCCATTTTGATTTATCTATATAGTGTTTGTGAGTGTATCTCTATATAGTTTTTTTAGTGGTTGCTTTAGGTATTACATTATATTTACGCAACGGTTTTAGAAAAAAACTCAGTTTTCCTCCTGTGTTTCTCCTTTACTGTCACACTGCTACCACACTCGCAATACTTCTCACACCAAATGTGTGGGGGTTTTTTTTCCCCATACCAAGAGTAATTTTCTGTGACACCAGCTGGGTAGGTGCCCTACAATTTAACTCAATTCTGATACTATCTACCTGGAGATACCTTGAGATCCTACAGGTTAAGGCCTCAATCCTACAAGACTGCCCACTACTTGGCTACAAATCAGAGGTACCCATGATCTCCTCCCCCTTAGATTAGATTATTAGCTAGAGCACCTCACAGAACTCGGGGAAATACTCAAGTTTACCAGTTTATTACATAATGAAGGATATGATAAAAGATACAGATTAACAGCCAAATGAAGAGGTGGGTGAGGTTTGGGAGGGTCCCCAGTACAGAAGCTTCTGTCCCCATGGAGTTGGGTTGCATCACCCTCCCAGTACACGGATGTGTTCACCCACCTACCTGGAAGCTTACCAAACTCTGTACTTTTGGGATTTTATGGAGGTTTCATCACGTAGGCATTATCTCTCATTAACTCCATTTCCAGTCCTTCTCCTCTTTCTTTGGAGAATGGGGAATGGGGCTGAAATTCCAAGCTTCTAATCATGTCTTGGTCTTTCTGGTGACCAGCCCTCATCCAGGAGCCATCCAGGAGTCCACCTAGAGTTGCCTCATTAGAACAAAGGACACTGCTATCACCCAGGAAATTCCAAGGGATTTAGGAACTCTGTGTCAGGAACTGGGATCAAAAACAAATATCAGGATAAAAGATGTCCCTAGTACTCTTATCATTTAGGATATTGTAAGGGTTTTAAAAGTTAGGAACCAGGGGGCAATATATATTTTGTATTATCTCACAACAGCTTACCACAGTCTACTGGTACCAGCATTTTACCAGTTCAAGCAAAGTATAGAAACCGTGCCTCCCTTTACGTCCCTTTACCCTTCTGCATTTATAATTGTCTTAATATTTCTCTACATTCATTGAGATGCACATTAGAGTCACATACTTTTCACTTCAAGCATAATTTAGCAAACT